TGTCCTGACCCCTCTGAGTGACTTGTCCTGGAGTTGGATCCCGTTACCTTTTGCACCTCTCCCTATCCCCTTCTCTGTCTCCCTTTCCCTTTTCCCCCATTCCCTTTCCTATGCCTGCCATCCCCTTTTCCCGTTCCCAGGCCCTCATCCAGAACCTGGAGTCCCATGTTTTGGGGTGCTGGCGGGGGCTGCTCCTGCCCAGGCCCCCTGGGAGCTCTCCCAGCTTGGCCGAGGAATCCTCCCGGCTCATCCCGGAGCTGCGGAGCTGCGGCTGGAACAACCCCGACCCTGCCCTCGTCCAGGTGGGTGGCCTGGGCTGGGATGTGGGGGGGGTGGTGATCCTGCGATTTGGGGGGCTGCGTGTGGGTTTGGGGGGGCTGAGCCCAGGATTTGGAGGGGCTGAGCTGGGATTTTGGGTGCTGATCCTGGATTTTGGGGTGCTGACCCCTCGATTTTGGGGTGCTGACCCCTTTGCCCCCCAGGTGCTGCTGAATGGGGCCCCTGCACTGACCCCCCCTGATGTCCAGGCCTTGGCCTTTGGCCTCTGCCCGGCCCGGCCCCTCCGGGCACGGCTGCTCCTGGAGGAGGCCCTGGAGGGGGCCCTGGAGAGGGACCGAGGGGACAGCAGGGGGTCCCTGGTGCTGCTGCTGGACAAGGTGAGACCCCTGGGGCTGCTGCTTCATCCTCATCATCCTCACTCCTTCCTCATCCTCCTCACACCTTCATCATCCTTCTCCTCCCCTGCTCCTGGAGGAGGCCCAGGAGAAGGGCCGGGTGGCTCTAGGGGGTCCCTGGTGCTGCTGCTGGATAAGGTGAGAACCCCCAGGGCTCCTTCCTCATCACCACACCCTCCTCCCTGGTAGCACCTGCAGCGTCTCCCCTGGGAGTCCCTCCCGGCCCTCGGGGCCGTGCCGGTGACGCGGCTCCCAGCCCTGCGGTTCCTGCTCAGCTACGTGATGGCCCGGCAGGTCAGGGGGGCACAGACCCCTGGGACCCCCTCCCTGGCGGGTGGGGGGACCCCCTGAACCCCCTTCCCGGGGTTTGGGGACCCTCCATCCCCCATTCCCGGGGTTTGGAGTGTCCCAGGGTTTATTCCCCCATTCCCACATTCCCTGTCCCCTTCAGAGCTCAGGGTCCATCCTGGCCCGGGGGGTGAACCCCAAAAGCACCTTCTACGTCCTGAACCCCCACAACAACCTGGGGGGCACCGAGCAACGTTTCCGGGCCTGGTTCGAAAGGTCAGGGCACCTTTGGAGGGCTGGGGGCGGGGGGCTGCACCCCAAATCCTGCCCCTATAACCGCTGCGGGGGGCTGCACCCCAAATCTTACCCCGTCCCCTCTGGGGTGGCTCTGGCCCCCAAAATCCGCCCTGTCCCCCCCAGTGAGCCAGGCTGGCGTGGCGTGTCTGGCTCTATCCCAACCCCGGAGCAGATCCAGGAGGCCCTTCTGGAGCATGACCTGTACATGTGAGTGGGATTTTGGGGGGGGTCCCTGGAGGGTCCTGACCCCCCCCTCTGAGCTCGGAGTCAGTTCTGAGCTGAGGGGGTGAACCCCAACAGCACCTTCTCCCCCTTCCCTGGGTTTTGGGGACCCCCTGTTCCCCATTTCCGGGTTTTTGGGAACCCCTGGGACTCACTCCGGGGGTCTGTGTCCCCCAGCTATGCAGGGCACGGGTCGGGGGTGCGGCTCCTGGACAGACAGACCCTTTCCCGGCTGGAATGTCGGGCCGTGGTGCTGCTCTTCGGCTGCTCCAGCGCCGCCCTAGCCCTGAGGGGGGGCCTGGAGCCCACCGGGACGGTGCTCAGATACGTCATGGCCGGGTGGTGAGTCGGGGGGGGCCCGGGGGGCTTTGGGAGGATCTGGGGTGTATCTGGGGTGATTTGGGGGGGATCTGGTGGGCCTGGAGCCCACTGGGACCGTTCTCAAATACATCATGGCCGGGTGGTGGCTCTGGGGGGCTCTGTGCCTTTTGGGGACTCTTGGGCTTTGAGGGGGCTCTGCATGCTCAGTTTGAGGGGGGCTCTGGGAATTTGGAGGGTCTCTGTGACTCTGGGGGTCTCTCCACACTCACAACCTGTGTTGGGGGGCCCTCTCCCCCTTGTTTTGCAGCCCCCTGGTGCTGGGGACGCTGTGGGACGTCACTGACCGGGACCTGGACCGCTTTGCCCAGGCTCTGCTGCAGGGTTGGCTGGGGGGAGGCCCCGGGACCCCCCTCCTGCCCCACCTGTCCCAGGCCCGCCAGGCCCCCCGACTCAAATCCCTCATCGGGGCTGCGCCCGTGGCCTACGGGCTGCCCGTGAGCCTCAGCTGAGGGGGGTCCCTCCCATTGTCTTTGGGTTCCCCCCATTGCTTGTGGTGTGAGCTGGAGGGTCCCCCAGTTGGTTTTGGGTCCCCCCTGTTACCTACAGGCTCCTCATCTCCCTGTGGGGATGGTTGGGGGGTCCCCCCCATTGTTTGGAGATCCCCTTGTTACCTTTGCGTTCTCCCCATTGCCCTGGTGAGGATTTTGGGGTCCCCCACCACCGTGGGGCCTTTTGGGGGTGTCTCTGTCTGTTTTGGGGTCCCTGTGCCTGTTTTGGGGAGTTTTGCACGCCTTAATTTATTTTAATGAAATTGGTTTTATTCGAGTTTCTGCAACAATGAAATAAATAAAAGCTGCTGCCTCTTTATCCGACCCCCACCTCGAGTGTTTCTGAGCCCCCAGATCCCACTGGGCTTCCCCAAGTTTCTCTGGCCCCCTCAAATTTCCCTGGGTCCCCTCAGGTCTCAGGGTCCCCCCCACATCTCTCATTAAGACCACTCCCCTTTCTCCTGGGGGGAGCATTAGGGACACCCCCTTTTCCCCTGGGGGGGGCTTTCGGACCCCCTTTCTCTGGGGTCGGATCCCCCCCTTTCTCTGGGGAGCACCTTGGACCCCCCTTTTCCCTGTGGGAGACCTTGGGCCCTTTCTCTCGAGTGGAGGGGGCTTTACGACCCCCATTTTTCGCGGAGGAACATTAGGACCCCCCTTCTCGCGGGAGGGGGCGGGAGGGGGGCATTAACACCCCCCCCTTTCCCGGGGTGGGGTGGGCATCAGGACGCCCCCCGCAGTCCTCCAGCCCGGCAGGGGGCGTTGTCTCTCAGAGGGTATGGGTAGTGGGGACGGGGTGTTGTCGGTCCTCCAGCCCGGCAGGGGGCGCTCTCACGTCAGGGCGTGTCCTGGGGCGGGGCGGCCCAAGATGGCGCAGACCGTGAGCGTGGGGGAGCTGGGGCTGCCCCAGCTGGAGCTGCTCAAGGGGCAGCTGGACCAGGTCTGGGGAGCCTGAGGGGCTGTGGAGGGTGTGGGGATCGGGGGGGGGTGTCTGAGGGTAAGAGGGGACTGCCCTCGCTTTGGGAGTTTGGTTTGGGGAGTCGTTGGGTGGTCCTGGGAGGGGCTGGGGGGCTTTGGGGATCGGGGTGTTTGGGGGTCCCAGCTGGAGCTGTTCAAGGGGCAGCTGGAGCAGGTTGGGAGGTCCTGGGGGGTTATGGCGGTCTAAGAGGGGTTATGAGGGGGTCCTGAGGGCTGGGGGGGCTTTGGGGATCAGAGGGGGTTCTGGGGGGTCCCAGCTGGAGCTGTTCAAGGGGCAGCTGGAGCAGGTTGGGAGGTCCTGGGGGGTTATGGCGGTCTAAGAGGGGTTATGAGGGGGTCCTGAGGGCTGGGGGGGCTTTGGGGATCAGAGGGGGTTCTGGGGGGTCCCAGCTGG